AATTACTTAATTTATCCAAGAAAGGACATGTTATATGCGGTCTAGACAGGCCCTCACTTGGTGCACAAAGCAAAAAGTGTTACGCTTCTGTTGCAAGATATAATTCTTAGTCCAAAATAATTTCTTGTGCAGTGGATTATGACCATCACAGTACTAAAATTGATATAGGTAACTTCACATTGGGATCTCCAGCTATACATGATAAAACTAATGAAAATGCTGAAAACTAGAAGATATCTTTGAAACAAAACCTATATAGCTCTCTATAAATTAGGGGTAAAAAACCTAACCCTAGTCAAATGTCAAAAGATGCTTTATTAATATTTCTACAAGGTTATCAAACGAGATAGGATTATTCAAAAGAAGTCAAGGAAATGCTGGGAAGTAGTATATAAGCTTCATTGTCCTTCTGACTAGTGTAGTATCTGAAAGATCTTCATTCGAAAATTATGCTAAAAATATACTCTTGACTCAGCAATGGCACTAATGACAATGCATTTTAATGTTTAAGATCATATTTTCTAAGATCAAATAAAATCCTATTAAAATTCATCTGCCAATTTATATTAAAAGGTTAACATATGTTTAATATTTGCTTTTTAATAGTAGTTTTATTAAGGTATAAATAACATTACATGCAATTCACCCATGTAAAGTGCTCTCAGTATGTTTTAGTTCATTCATGAAGTTGTACAACCATCACCATGATTAACTTTAGAACATCTGCATCAGCCCCCAAAGAAACCCTATACACATTAGCAGTTCTTCTCCATTACCCACCCTCCCCTTCAGCTGATGCTGAGCCCCATCAGCCTTCAGCAACTATATTAATCTACTTTCTGTCCATATAGATTTGTCTATTCTGGACATTTCATATAAATGGAATTATATAATATGTGATCTCTTGTGACTGGCTTTGTTCACTCAGGATAATGTCTTCAAGGTCCATCCATGCTGTACTTCATTCTTTTTACTGCTGAATACTATTCCATTATTTGGATATACCAGAATTTATTTACTCATTCATCAGCTGATGGATATTTGGGTTGTTTCTACGTTTTAGCTATTATGTAGAATAGTGCTATAAATACTTGTATACACATTTTTATGTGCATTGGTTTTCATTTCTCTGGGGTGTATCCGGAAGAGTAGAAATGCTGGGTGACATGGTAACTCTATGTTTAACCTTCTGAGGAACTGACAGACTGTTTTCAGAGCAGTGGTGCAGTTTTACATCCCCACGAGGGGATGTAAATTTTTTAATGCCTTAAAAGAACACTTCTCGTACTCTTGTTCTATTTCCACTCTAGACTTGAGTACTGTGAACACTTGGCCAGTGTGTGACAGTTCCAATTTCTCCACATCCTCATTATTACTCATTATATCTTTTTACTTACAGCAACATTTTTTAAATAAATGGTACTTTTTAACATTTTGTAATACATTTATAGGTGCTAAAACTTTTGAAATAAACATTGTTTACTGATATTTTGCTTCAGGAATTGTAAACGCTTCAAAAAAACATCAATAATGATATTAATACATACTTCATATTCAATAAAATAAAGACCCCAAAGTATAAATTTTATACTGATTATTTCAGTAAATGCAACTTGTATAAAGCTTCACATGACAAATTATCTTCAGAGCTCAGAATTAAGTATAACTTTTTCTTGACTTGTATATCCCTTCCATTAAAAAAAAAAGAGAGGTGTGTAATTCACTCTTTCTTTGTGCTGATTACTAGGAAGCTTAAAATAGAGCTTTTTCTTAGTTGGGAATCTAGCAAAACTAACTTTTATTTTTATCTTTCATCTTATGGGTCTTGTTCAATTTATAGATATATCTCTGTATTTAGTAAAAGGTAACACAATCCTTTTTAGAAATAGTGCATACAGAAGTAAATAAATAAAAATGTAGTATCTAGTAATTATTGAATAAAATGAGTCATGGTACCTGATATATCTGTAGCTAGCTTAAACACCGGTGAAAATATTCCCAAATGGTTTCTATTTGGAATAATTTACAGGAAGTTACTTTGTTTCTCTGCATTACTTTTTAAAGTCACACAGAATAATTATTTGTCTATATGAAATGTATGTATTCTAATGTAAAGAAAGTGAATATCTATGAATAGTTAGAGAAAAGCATTTGGCATCCATTATTGGTGATACTGAATATAATTTAGGGTTTGGTACCAGATATAAGGTAAGAATACCAGAAACTATACTTACCTCTGAGTGATTTCTGTCAAGTCCAATAATTTAACTTATTAAGCAGGAGGAATAAATCATATGTATCTTCCAGACATAGGTGACAGTAAGAAAACAATCTAAATAGAAATAAGAGAATTTGTAAATTTTTTTAATGCCTTAAAATAACACTTCTCATACCCTTGTTCTATTTCCACTCTAGACTTGCGTGTTGTGAACACTTGGCCAAAGTATGGCCCAAAGAACTAGGCCATCCCCATAAATTAATACATGTCATAAAATGACTTAAATTTCCATGTGTGAAGTGGACAGATGAGTAAGTACTGGCTTTCTAGAATGGTAAGAAACCTTAGAAATTGTATAGTTTGCTTCAGTTACAGATGTGGGAAATGAAGATGAGGTGAAAGAACTTACCCCAGATCTCTTAAGTTCATAGCAGGATGGGAACTATACCCCAGCTGATTCCTGACTGAAGGCTATTTCCACAACACCATGATAGTTCAAATCAAAGTTTAAAATGTATTTGATTTCCAGCTTTGTTTAAACCTTGAGTTTTAAAAAGCTGAACATGATATAGCCTAAAATAGCAAAAAAGTTCTGATGAACTCACAGTTTTAGCTAACAGCTAACTAGAATCCAAATAAAATAGCAATGTTACTATCAGAACAGATGATGAGTATATCATTAAAAGCAAGTGTAATGATGGCAACCTTAAAGCTTACTAGGATATTTTAAAAATCACAAGAATACTATTAGATGGTTTATGGTCACTTGAGAAAATTACTTTCATACAGACAAAAGAACAAACTTCTAGAAGAAAATCTAAAGATAAGATTGATAGCTCTTTCTTATCTATTTCATTCCCTGAAAAGTATGTGAAACATTAACTTCACAAGTTAAATATTAAAATGAAAAAAAGGAAGAAATACTAAACTATCCAGTTCAGGAATCACAGATTGAGTTTTGAAAGACGGTTTGATCTTGAAATCTTTTTTACTGGTCTTCTCATGGCATTCATTGTCTTCTGATTCACTTAATTACATCTCACCCTGAAATAAGATAAGAATTAATCGTGATTTTTCAGTTAACATTGTGTGCAACAAAAACACTAGTATGTCACACGGGGAGAACTACCTAGTTATCCTAGTTTCCCCAGCCCACAGTCCTTCACAGAGAAATCTCTCTATGCAGATTTTCTGTTTACTGTATAATCCTAAACAGCCATATGTTACAGCATATCATATCACCTTGCCAAGCTACAGAGGCAACTCCCTCAAGGGCAAATAATCCAAAGGCCTAGAAGTAGCCCATGAGGTGGCCTAATGTGGAAAGTTTTGTCCAAAGAGGGATGACATGGACCAATCTGATGCTTGTCTCTGGAAATGTGAGTTAAAGCTAAGAAAATACAATCCATGAGGTGGAGCATGGACAAGATGGAAATAAGAATCCATGAGTAAGCCAAAGATACATGACCTAAAATTACAATAAAATTGAAACTATGATATATACCAGAGTCTGTAATGTAAAAGTGTAGAAAGTGAAATTGGCAGTTGGTAATGAGAAGAAAAATGAAGCAGAGAATAAACTAGTGGTCTATTATACTACAAATAATAATAGCAACATTCTTAGATCTCATATCTGAGTCAGGACTATTCTAAATTTTATTTATTTGTTTACTCATTATCAACTTCACAAAATCTCTATGATGCAGATACTATCATTAGCTCTGTTAGCTCTGACAGAAGACAGAAACAGGTTATACAGTTAGTAAGTAGATCTGGAATTCGAATCCAGGAAATCAAAGTTCAAAGTCTGTGCCTTTAATTACTATCCAATATGGCAAACCACTAAAGTGATGATCCATGAACATCTGCTGAGGTCTTTAAGGCTTCTCTGAATTTAAATTCTAGCATCTGTGGATCCAGTTATATTGGAATTCCTGTTCTTGGATTTCTATGAGTCTGTCTTTCCCTTGTTGACTTATATGTCCTTACAAGGACAACTGCCCCATGTGCTCACTTGATAAAGTAACAGCCGCCTTTAATTCCCTGCAGGTGCTTAAAAATATTGTACTCAGGGAGTGATGTCAGCTAAAATGACAGAATAGGGACCCCCCAAAAAGAATTTCCTCCTTAAAAACAATGAGACATTTTACCAAAAAAAAAAAGGTCAGAAGCAAGTTTTTAGAACTCTAGAAATTAACCAAAGGTTTGCAGCAATCCTGGAGAATTTAGTACATACACACCCACACACACAGACCCCCATGGCAAAATCCAGTAAGAACACTGAACTTTGTAGCATTTTAACTTGCCCTACTCCACTCTTTCCTCAGCTCTGTGGTGAAATTCCTATGATGAAACTGACAAACTAATCCTAAAATGTATATGGAAAATAAAGGGACTCTGAAAGGGGCAGGAGGAGAAGGGGATGACAAAGGATGAGATGGCTGGATGGCATCACCGACTCGGACATGAGTTTGGGTAAACTCTGGGAGTTGGTGATGGACAGGGAGGCCTGGCGTGCTGCGATTCATGGGGTCGCAAAGAGTCGGACACGACTGAGTGAACTGAACTGAACTGAACTGAGCAACCAAAACAATCTTGCAAAAGATTAAAGTTAAAGGACTCACTCACTGATTTCAAAACTTTATGAAAAGTTATAGTCATCAAGACAGAATGGTACTGGCATAGGGACAGACTTACAGATTAATGGAATAGAGCTGAGAGCCTAGAAATAAATTTATATGTTTATGGCTAATTTTTAAAAGGATGCCAAGGCAATCCGACTGAGTAAGAATAGTCTTTTCAGCAAATGGTGCTAGGATAATTGAACAGACACACGCAAAAGACTAAAATTAGACATATTTCACATCCTATACAAATATTAACTCAAAATGGATTGGAAAAGAGCTAACACTATAAAACTCTTAGATGAAAATAGGTATAAATTCGTATGTTCTCGGATTAGGCAATGATTTGTTAGATATGATATCTGAAACACAAGCAAATGAGAAAATATAATCCTAGGAAGCCAGTATCAATTGGACTTCATCAAAATCAAAACTGTCTTCTTCAAAGAACAGCATCAAGAAAGGGAAAAAACCAATAAATAGGAGAAAATATCTGCAAATCATTTATGTGATAAGGTCCAACAACCAGAAAATATAAAGAACTCTTATAATGTAACAAAAATAACACAAACAACTTTTTTAAAATGGGCAAATGACTTGAATAGCTATTTCTCCAAAAAAGATATACAAATGGCCAGCAAATACATGGGCACTAAATATCTAATGTGGGGCCCTAGAATCAACCTTCACAGCTCATTGCTGGAAGAACTAAAGTTTCTGCAAAACTCCACTGGGGGAACTTTTAGAAGCTTGTGCCTGGTTCCCTCCAAACTTCATCTCACACATCTCTTTCCTTTGATAGTTTTGCTTTGTATCCTTTAACTGTAATAAATCTTAGCTGTGTGCATAAATAGATGCTGAGTCCTGTGAGTCATTCTAATGAACCAGTGAACACAGGAGTCGTCTTGGGGTCCTCCCAACACAGAAGTACAGCATTTTTCAGAAGGAAGTCCTTTTCTACAATTTATATCAATGCTTTAACTCCATTGTATTTCCATTGATTATTATCTTGTACACTTCAAGTATTTATGATTAGTCAAGGCCATCTAGCCAAAAACTGAACAGAACGTTGCTATTCTATGAATTTTCATCAAAGAAACCTATTATACTACATGCACTTTGAGTGCCTGTGTTTGAAAAGAATTCTGATCTATAGATAATTTATATCTTTGCTTACAATTTTAATACTGTTAAGTTATATATGAATATATTATCTGCATGAGATAAGGTTATAGAAGACATGGACTGCCTGAGTAATTCTTCTGCACTTAGTACAGGACCACAGAAAAGCGTGTGTAGACATAATCTCCTAAACTCCTAAAATATTTCTCTGTTCTTTATTCATCCTAAATTATTTTTATTCACAAACGAAAACATAGTTTAAACTGCACAGACACCTACATTTATTGCAGTGTCCATACCTCCTCACTAAAAGGTTCAGTTCAGTTCAGTCACTCAGTCGTGTCCGATTCTTTGCAACCCCATGGACTGTAGCACGCCAGGCCTCCCTGTCCATCACCAACTCCTGGAGTTTACCCAAACTCATGTCCACTGAGTCGGTAATGCCATCCAACCATCTCATCCTCTGTCAAACCCTCTGTCATTCTCCTCCCACCTTCGATCTTTCCCAGCATCAAGGTCTTTTCTAATGAATCAGTTCTTTGCATCAGGTGGCTAAAGTACTGGAGTTTCAGCTTCAACATCAGTCCTTCCAATAAACACTCAGGACTGATCTCCTTTAGGATGGACTGGTTGGATCTCCCTGCAGTCCAAGGGACTCTCAAGAGTCTTCTCCAACACCACAGTTCAAAAGCATCAATTCTTCGGCGTTCAGCTTTCTTTATAGTCCAACTCTCACATCCATACATGACTACTGGAAAAACCATAGC